GCCTCCGCCGCCGCTCCCGTCCGCGGCCGAGGACGACGGCCGCTTCGCCAGCTCGACGGCGGACGAGGCGATGGCGGCGGTTGCGAGGTCGTTGATGGATGTCATTTTTCTTGGTGTTGGTGGTTTTGTCTTTTTTTTTTCTTTTTTTTTTCGTGTTGTATTCCCTGATTAGCCGCGGGAGTTTGGATACCCAGGCTCTATTTTGTATTAGCGCGAGGTAACCCAGATCAATGTCGAAAAGTGACGTAGTGGCGAAGGAAAGCGATCCAGTGGAATTGTTTCTCCTCAAGTTGCCTCAATTTCACCCGCTCGACACTCCTCTTCCCGCCATCCCCCTCGCTTGAATTATACATGACCGCCTCGACACCCCTCGTCTGAAAAACCTTGATATGGTGTGACTTCTCACCTCTGGTAGGAGGCGACCTGGGCGATTCGCTTTAACCAAAGCGTCGCCCCCGTGACCGAAGTTGCTCGAAACCCATTGATGGGGCACGGCACAACGCCTACGAGGTTCCACTGCCGCGCTTGCTACAGAGGCACACCAGTCAAGCGGCGGTGGCGGCGGGCGGTACAGGCACTAATCGAGAGCTCCAGAGCTTCCGGCCCTAGCCAGGGGCCTCTCCGTCCCTCTCTCGATTGTGGGACGACAGCATGTCAGCTGCAGCTTCACCCCACACAGCACCGACTGCGCGATCTCATCACTCACGTCAGTCCCCAGCCTCCACCCCGCATTAGCGCGAGCAGCTAGCACAGGTTGGCCATGTTCCTCATGGGGTGCCATGCTCTGGACATCTCTACATAGGTGTTGTGTCGGGCGAAAGGAACACTCTCTTGGTACATCCTAGGTATCTCATCCCTGGCCAGGCAATCGAGAATGTTGGGCGGTACGCTGTCAAACACGGCACACAGCAGCACGGAATCAGACGTGTCAGGCACCAGGCCCAGGCACTGTCTTTTGGTACCTGCATGGGATCGCGAGCGATGGCTACACAAAACAGGAACACCCGTTCAACCAGGACATTGACACGGTAGCATTTACCGTAGGGTTGAGTACGCCACACACCTGTAGGCACGGTTCAGTGGAATAAAAGTGCACATAAATTCAAGCTTCAAGCTCCAGTAGAAAAGACACAAAACCAAGTCCCCGAACCTAGCCATATCATATCATATACTCGTCCCCGATATTGCCAGCCCCCATCCCCCAGTCCTGTAAGCTCCCCGTCCGTCCTCGCCCGCATTCAAATAGTAGACAGCGCCGTGTAACTCCACATCCAGTCGAAAACACGTACCACATTAAAAAGCAGCCGAGCCCCACAGAAGCCCATAAGGAAAAAGGTATCACCCGTAGAAAGAAGGACGAGCCAGAGAAACGAAGCACCATGAGAAACCTCTAAATCAGCAAGCAGGGACAGGGTCTGCGACTTCGGCCTCGGTCGAGGCTTCAGCCTGGGCCACAGCCTCCTCCGTTGGTGCAGATGGGGTGGACGGTGCGATGGGTTCCGCCTCATCCTTGGCGCTGTTGCTCTCCCACAGCTCAAAGCTCTCACCGGTGCCCTCAATGGGCTGCAGCAGAGCAGCTTGTGGGGCGGGGGCGTTGCGCTTTCCCATAAGCTCGTCTATTGAGGCCTCAGTCTCTGGACCCTTGTTTTTGGGCGCGACCTTGGGCGCAACATCGCCAGCGACGTTGGATTCAGGCTCCTGGTACTCGTCACCGCCATGCACCGTCTCGGCGTCGTCGTAATCTCCAGGGACTATGATGACGGATCCACTGTGGCATCCTGCGGCGTAGTAGTCGGCTACGTTCATCTCCGACAGAGGGCCACGAGTCTTCTCATAGATCATGTCGTCGCCATCCAGATCTCGCCTACGGGCTGAAGATGAGGTGGTTTGGCTGATATCATCGACGGGAGGGATGTTCTCCTTGTCGCGGCCCTCGGCCGTCTCACGCCGACGCTTCTGCTCGCTCTCCTCGTCGCTGCTGATGTCCAGGACGCAGGTGCTGTGCTGCAGCAGGTTCGTCATCTCCTGCTCGGGAGTATCCTCGTGGATCTCAAAGTTCCATGAGCCATCCAGCTCGGCCCCATACAGGTCGCCGAGCAGGGAGGAAGATGGGGCGGCTGCGGCTGCCGACCGAGAAGCGTAGCTGGAGACGGTGCCCTTGAGGGCGGCATCGAGCGAAAATGGAGCACCGGCGCCCAGGCCGAAAGTGGGAGGGTCTACCCGAGTGAAAGGGCTGGCGGTCTTGCGTCGGTTCTTGGAGAGAATTCCGACGCGCTTGCTGCTACGGGTCGGAGAGCGACCGGCAGGAGCCGATAGGGGAGCCGCAGCTGGGTGCGCCGAGTTGATCTTGGAGACAGGCGACCGAGGCTTGATGATGGAGCGTGGCTTGGAGATACCCGCATGCTTTGTCCTGTTGAGGGTGGGGTAACTTGGGACTGGCGAGGGCTTGGGGAGCGATGGTGCCGGCGCCTTGGTCAGGACAAACGACGATGGTTTGAAGTAGTCGTTGGAGAAGAAGCTATCGGAGCCCTTTGTCCTCTTGGAGAAGATCACGGGGTCGACATTCTCCGAATCATCGTTGTCAATTGATTCCGCCTTTCTCTTGGAAGGTCCCGACGAGAAAGCTGAGAAATAATTTAGTTAGCATGATGGTCATCGCAGTGTTGATTGACATGAAAGCATCGCCTGTCATTTGCGCCGCTATGGATCGCATAGCAAGTCAGGTGCGGAGGCTGAACCTGCCCAAGGGGTGTTGGACCAGGGGCTGAGGGGAGCTTAGAATTGAAAGAAAGCGCGCATACCATTCTGTCTGTTCTTCAAGCTCGTGAGGTTCTGCAGCCGAGACCCATCGAGAGGGGCGAAGGGCTGGCGAGGGACAGTGCTGGCCATTGTGTATCGAGGTCGACGGCGCCGGGCCGCAATGGAGACAATTCAAGTCTGGAGGCCGTCGCTGGGTATCGGGGTCGACCCAGTCAATCACCCACGACTCTAAGGGTGGGTGCCAAGACTGCCTGTCTGTTGGACGGCTTGAGGCGGATGGTGGCGACAACGATAAAGTCAATCAGACTGTTGTTGGGCTCGAATGAATTCAATGTTTGTTTGTGCCCTATCTGGTCGCGATAGTAGAGAGACCCGTGTAGTCGGCTGAGGGGCAGAGGGGAAGTCGGGAAAAAGAGGAGACAGAGTGTGGCCAGAAGGATGTGGGAGGTGCTAGTATTCTTATTGCGAGCGCAGCTGATGAGGAGGTGGTCGCTGGAACGGGTCGGCGTGGCGAAGGTGTGGTCGCCTTGGAAGAGGCCCAACGATGGAGCGCGCGGATTGGGTGGTGCGCAATGCCGATACCACCTGAGCTGCGGGCGCGACTTAATGCGACGCACTGGATCGACGTCAAACAGGACCAGCAGCTTGGAGCGCTTCCCTGCTTGCCACGGCAGCAGATGGGGTGCGGGTCGGGGGTTTCTGGATTTTGAGTGAAGAGAAGTGCGTCTTGGTTGTCTGGCCAGAAAATTGCCTGAACGTAGAGACTGCGTCCTAGTGATATCTGGCGGGTTGGGTTGTGCGACAGCGACGGAGGGATGAGGAAACGAGTGCGCCCGAGGGCTCAGACTGTCGACTGTCCTGCAAGTCTAATTAACGGGCTGCGCAGCGTGCCTGCTCAACGTGCCGAGTCGTGGTCAAACTCGACGCGCGTGGGCGGGCTCGATCTGGCGTCGCTCCAACGGGACGGGGTCCTCGCTCAGGGGGGTGGGGAGGGGGAGGAGGCGGAATGCCCGCACAGTGCACAGTGGGCAGCCAGCAGGTGCCCACCTGCCCACCCAGGCATCAGATGGCAGCAGCTCTGCTCCGTCGCTGTTCCCCTCGCTCGTGGCCAAGTATCTTACACAGATCATGCATGCACTCATAGCATCCACTCACTCAATTTGCTGGAGTTGGGCACGCCGTCACGCACCAAGCGCCGACGCCCTCGCGCCTTCTCTGCCAGTGGCTGTCGCATCGGCCGTGGCCAGCGAACAGTGCACAGCCAGCAAAATGCACGAGGACAGGACCGGCGTCTGAGGACCTGCAGGCCGAGCGAGGGTGCTGGCAGCGGGCGCGAATGCGAAAAGGGAGGGTTTGTGCGCTGCGCGCACCACGCAAAGCTGGGCGGAGGGGTTTGACTGGCTGAGGTCTGCGCCCATCAAACCCGTCTGCCAATCATCGCGTCTCCTGCGCAGGATCGCCCCTGCGTGTCCTGACTTGAAGCCGACCCACAAGTACCTGCCCCACCACGCGTCCGTGTCTGGTCGCGCAAAGGACGAGGGCTCAAGGGGAGCGCGAGTAGAAAAACGAGAACAAAGATTAAAATACCGAGAGGCTCGTGCTCCATCCTGCAGGTTTAATGGCAGCAGAGATAATCTGGAGGCTGGGGACGAGGGGACCTCCTGACGTGCGACCGCAGGCTCTTGTGCTTGGACGTCAGAAGCCGCTCCTGCCAACCCAGAGCTGACGCTGTCTCAGGCCCAACCTGCCCTGACGTCGTTCAGAGCATCCGTTCAGAACATCTCCCGGCCGACCCTATCCCCCGCGTCCCCGAGCCCCATTCACCCGCCTACTCCAGGCATGAAGAACCCAGATACTGTCTTGGGGGCCGCGGAACAACGGCCGTGTCGATCCGTGGGCGAGGCTCTTGGGGCTCGACGACGAGCTGTCTCAGCTGGAGGGGCTGGCGGTGGGTTGATTAACTAAGCGGTGTGGGCTTCGCCAGTGGCACCATCAGACACGCGGGCCAGAGGTCGCGGCCGGTGGTGCCGTCTGCGGCCATCCTGGCCTGTCGCTTTTATGCGCCACAGACGCTATGTGTGTTGGCTCTTGGTTGGCTCTGGGGCTGTCTCGTCCTTCGGAGGCCTAGCCGCAGTGCCCAGCCGGGTTTATGCAGGCCAACTTCCACCTCCTCAATCGAGTTCAGGGAAATCCGATGACGACGAAGGTGGCGAGCTGCCGTCGGCACAGCTCGATAGTTTCTGCGCATCCTCCGTGGCCGTCTCGGCTCCCTGACCGGTTTCGGCGGCTGTGGCCATTCGCGCCTCCCCTTGGCTTGGTCTGTCTGGGCCATCTGCGGGCTGACCACCCAATTTTTCTGATCGGACTAGGAGACATCTCAAGCTGCAGAATAAGAGCTGCAAGTTGCCGTCCGTCCAACCATGGCGGCTCTGCCAGGTCCACCCCCAAGCAGGGAGAGAGAGGCAGGTTTTGTTGGACGGGCGCCTGGGCAGACTTTCGACAAGCGACCTATTCCTCCATGACCCGGAATCTCCAGATACCGGTGGTGAGAACTACCTACCCATGCCGATTGAGTCACCCTCTAGGCGCATCCTACTGGATTCCTTCCGCCGGCTGTTAGCAAGGCCGATGTGCCGTTTTTCGAGGCTGCTGCCTGCCCCGAATCCATCCTCCGGCCGGCACTAACCCAACACGGACTAGCCCACCGGTCCTTGTCCTTGGCCCGTGCTCTCCGATCCGGAGATGATTCGTCGAAGCTCGTGCTATCTTGAGCCAGAGCTGTCGAGCTCGGCTTGCTAGACAATTTGATAATACGATCAGGCAGACAGGCAGCCTACCCTGATGGCCATCTACACTTAATTTTTGAATCCTCTAGGCGCCCCTGAGTCACCGCCATAGACTAAACAAACTTGGTTCAGGCAGCATCCAATGAGAGACTTGGACGAAGCTTTGCAAGCGGGTACCTGGCTGCTGTGCCACATACAGGGCGGTTGTGCACTTCTGCCTAGAGCCTCACAAAGAACCAAGGAACTTTGCTGATTTGAAGGCAGGAGTGGAAAGTATGGGAAATGTGTGCCGATTACCTATAAGTATAGGCCATCCAGCCGTTAGATGCCCTCACTGTCTGCCACTCTTTCTCTATCTTATGCACTCTTTTCTCAGCCCCTCTCGATAGGAGCTTGGTCATCTCCTTCCATCTTCGCCGTTGGTCTCGCTTCCTCTCCCTCTTCTAATCGACATGGCACGCACCAAGCAGACTGCCCGGCGAGCCAAGCCGCAGCAAGAGCCCGACTCGGACTACACCGGCGATGAGGACGAGATTGACTCCCAAGTTGATGAGACCCAGAACGAGGACACAGAGGAAGGTGTTAGTGACGAGGAACAGCGCAAGCGTGAGGAGCTGGAGAAGGCGCCTATGAGGGCTGAGGTCAAACTTCTCGAAAAGCGCTGGACCAAGAAGGGCGTGGGATACTTCTGTGAGCCGCAGGAGGACGAGGAGATTCCAGAGCAGAAAACGAACTGGTACGAGAAGTTCGCCCTCTGCCAGACCAATGTCTACGACTCGCGCAACCAGTTCGTTACGAACAAGCAACTTTCGGTCAACTCTCCGGCCCTCAAGAAGGCGCTGAGGGAGGTTATCGGCAGCTTCCCGGGAATCTCTTTCTTCACCGATGAGATCACCCTTGGCTTTCCGCCTCGATGTCTGTATCACTACCGCAGTGAACTCCAGGCATACGCCGACAAGCTCAAGGAGGAAGAGCCCGGCTCCGAGGGCGCCGTCCACATGGTGGTGCTGATGGACTTCATCAACGAGCACTTCGCCGATACGATCAAGGAGTCCGAAAACCTTGGCAAGGAAGGCCTCATCAGCTACGACCTGCTTTGGACCATCTTCAGGCCCGGCATGCTGATCTACTCGACCGTACTCGGCCAGGCGCGTGCCTTCAAGTTAAACAGCTACGCGTACCAGAGCACTACCTGCGGCGAGTTTCTCGCTCTGCAGTGCCAGCACGTGGACTTTGACGGTGATGACTTTGGTACCCGCCAAACGTCACTTCCCGTGCGGAGGATGGAAGGCGCCGTGCCCATCGACGCCCTCTCTTCGTTTCCCATGCTGCTCCACCCCAACCCGGAGCAGGCTACCCGGGAGCTCCTGGAACGGGGACGCAAGTGGGAGGCCCACGCCGGCCAGCACTTTGTGCAGTACCGCGGCGTCGCCCTGGACAGCGAGGGCTCCCGGTTCAACATCGACAGCCGCACCATGATCGACTGCGCTACCCACCACCGCATCAACGGCAACTCGTCCTTCACCCTCAGCCCCTTCCCGCAGTCCCGGGCGGCTCGGGACGGGAAGAAGCGCAAGCAGAACCCGAGCACCACCGACGCAGAGCTGGTGCCGCAGGAGCTCAAGAAGTACACAAAGCTCACCGACGAGCAGTGCGTGCTCGCTTCCGCCATCGTGCGCGGCTTCGCCTTCTCGGAGAAGAGGTTCCTAGACTTCTTCATCAGCTGCGTCTCGCCCGTCGACTGGAACCACAAGTGCTTCGAGCAGCTCGTGCTGCCCGACAGCCAGAAGGAGCTGGTCCAAGCCCTCGTGTCGGAGCACACGCGGCGCACGACGGACCCCAAGGCCGCGGCGTTCGACGACATCGTCAAGGGTAAGGGCCGCGGCCTGATCCTGGTGCTCCACGGCCCTCCCGGCGTGGGCAAAACGCTGACGGCCGAGTGCGTGGCCGAGTTCTCGGAGCGGCCGCTCTACATCGTGTCGTCGGGCGACCTCGGCACCGACGCGTCGACGCTGGACCAGCGGCTGGCGCGCACGCTCGACTTGGCCAGCACCTGGAAGGCGGTGCTGCTGATCGACGAGGCCGACGTGTTCCTCGAGCGACGGTCGCTGCGGGACATGGCGCGCAACGCGCTCGTCAGCATCTTCCTGCGCACGCTCGAGTACTACGGCGGCATCCTGTTCATGACGACGAACCGCATCAAGACGTTCGACGACGCCTTCAAGTCGCGCATCCACGTGCCGCTGCGCTACAGCGGGCTGCCGGCGTCGAGTCGCGAGCGCATCTGGCGCAACTTCTTGTCGGCGGGCGGCGAGGCCGACGCCGACGACATCGGCGACGAGGACTACCGACGCCTGGCCGAGGGCGACCTCAACGGGCGGCAGATCAAGAACGTCGTCCGCACGGCTAGGTCGCTAGCCGCGCACAAGAAGCGCAAGCTGGACCACGCGCAGCTGCAGCAAGTCATGGACATTCAGATGGCGTTTGAGCGGGACCTGGATGGGAACGATGACGACATTGACATGGTTGAGCGCTGAAGACATTTAAGGTGTTTATTATCGGTTTATTTTCCGGTTTCTTGTCTCCTTGTTTTCACGAGCTCCTTTGTTTCTTAGATCCTTGGCCGCATTCCTGCGCCATTATATTTTTTAACATGGCCCATAGTACAACCAACGAGGCGCGAACCCGTATGTGTGTTTTCCCATATCCCATCTCATTCGCTCGACGTATCTTACGTCGATGCGGACTGCAAGGTTTTATTCGGGGAATCTGCCGTTTGGCTGGGACTGCTTTTTTTTCTTTTTTTTTTTNTTTTTTTT